CTTCTAGATTTTTCTTTTTCTTCCTCATTTTTTTCTTCCTCTCTTGCCTTAGATATTTTCTCTTGTTTCTTCCTTCTTTTGCCACCTCTCTTCTTCTCCTTCTCTCTAAAATTTTCCATATTTTTCTAGATAAATTTATCCCTCAAAATCAATTTCGTCAAGTCCCCTAAAATGTTATCACTTTACAATTTAGTCTTTAAACTTTTAATCTTTGTAATTAGCCCCTCCATTTTCAATAAGTAACTTCACAATTTCTCTCAATTTAGCCCTTATCCTAGGCTTTTTTCCAAAGATACTTTAAGTCCTTAAATTTTTTTAATTATTTCAATCAAGTACCTAAAATTTTAATTATTAAGATTTATGCCTCTGTGTTTTCCAAGTTTGTCCCTAAGTGAAAACATAATCATAACAATTAATATTGCCAACATCCGATTCACACTTTAATTGATTCCTTTATCTTTCGGTTAATTCATTTATCTTCCATAATAATTAGATTTGCATTAATTTTATTCTTACCCATACATAATTTTTCAATCTTTACTTTAAATGATTATTCATACATTAATTAAATGAATAATTCTTATAAATATAATTATTTTAATTCTTTAATTCACACCTTAATTGATTCATTCGCCTTCTATTTAATTCATTTACCCTCAATAATAATTATTATTACATTAATTTATTTTTTATTCAAACATAATTCATCAATCCTTATTTCAAAGAAATGTTCATCTATTAACGAAATAAATTATTCTTACAAATATAAGTACTCTTAATGTGGTTTTTAGATCGAGGATATTATATTCTAACACCGGATTAATTGCTAGGAGATATAAGAAGACAATGCTTGATGAAGATGTTTTTAGTAACAAATCTTCCAACACTAGATCAAGTAATAAAAGGGATAAAAGCCTCGAGTGGGCAAATAGTATTTTGTTGTTGAATCAATTGGAATATTTTGTACGTAAGTTTTACTAGGTGTTTAATTTAACAAATTTTAGTTTCTTTATAGGATAATTAAAGCATTTTTTTTCTCTACAACCTCGACACCCAATAAGTAAGATTATTGTAAAACCAAAAAAAAATGCAAAAACACCTAGAGTTTCAAATAGAAAAAGTAGAAAGAAGAAATCTAAAATTAGTACTAAAAAAAGTAGTGTCATTCAACTAGGTTCTAATTTGTTTATATGTTAGAAATCTACAAGTTTATGTTTATTGACCAGCATTTATAATTTTGAAAAGAAAAAACAATTACAATCCATGTAACAAACCATTGTTCGGGAAAATAGTAAGCAAGAAAACCAAAAGTTCTTTCTAACATATTAGTCCATTTCATCATTGGTAACAAATATTGATGGTGTGTCGTATCACCAATAAATTAGAAATTTATATGTCTTTACTAAACTCTTAAACATGGTTATGTAATCGGGGCAAGTAAAGGTTGAACCCACGGGGAAAGGGACCAGTCAATTGCTTTGGGTGTTCTTAAGTGTAAAAAGAGGGGTGTTGTGTATTTGAGATGCTTGCAAATAATATAAAGTAATAATAGATAATAGCATAAGAGTAGTCTTGGTTGAACTTCGAGTATCCACTTTTGATTTGGTCACCGATCATTGATTAAATAATTAATTCATCTTAATATGGAAAAGAGGGGTTTTGTGTGTTTGAGATGCTTGTAAATAATATAAAGTAATAAGAAATAATAGTATGAGAGTAGTCTTGGTTGAACTTCGGTATCCATTTTTTATTTGGTCGTCGATCATTGATTAAACAATTAACTCATCGTAATATGAATATTCACCATAAGACAACAACATATATGTTAAATCCAATCTTTCCTTACCTAGTTGTTAATTGGATATACGATACCTAATTAATTTCCTGGATATTGAACAACCTATAAAGTGCTAGATAAATTTAATCCAATAACGGCATTAAGATGAGAAAGATAGGTGAAGCTTAGCCACCTTCCTAAGTGTTAGAGAAGATATAACCTATTTTTATGTTTTCCAATGAATTGAACGAAAACATCACTAATCATCAACTCCTAGTTTCTACCACAAGCAAGTTTAGATAAGCAATTACATGGACTTGAATACTTATCTAATGATAAGGAATATGAATAAATAACTAGCATGCACTATAATTGAATTAATCATGCAACTATGAACCAATCATGCAAAAAAATATAAAATACCAAATAGAGATAAGTTTAGAATTAAAAACCAATACAGCGATTAACCAAAAGCTTCAATTTAATTCAACTAAGAAAGGAGTTTAGTTGTTCACGATACAAATAAAGAATTTGATTAATGGTGGCTGTAGAAAGCTAGCTAAAGAGAGAGAATAAATAATGTCATAAATTTGCTACTAAAAATAGGATTACATCACTTTTTGAGTCGGTATTATCTTGTCACATAGCTTGATGTATAAAGTTACATGATTTGCTACTTGATATCACACAATTTGGAACCTCGGAGATTGGATTGCACACGGTCGTGTGGATTTGTTCACAAATTGTGTCCGCCCATATAGATTAACAAATCCAGTAGCCAAACTTACGCCCATGTAGATCTTTTTCTCCTTAGCCACATGAACGTGTGGTTTTGTATTGCAAATCGTGTAAAGAACTCACTAGTCGTGATGAGCTTCTTCTTCAATGTCACACGCCCGTGTAGATTTACACACAAATTGTGTAGAAGTGGTTCCGCCCATATGGCTTGTCATGCTTGAGATTTCGGACGATTTTCTCCTTTAAGTCGCATGATCATTTGACTCTTTTAAGCCTCTTTTGGTGACTTCTCTCTTCTTTGTCTTGGTTTTGGGTTTCATTACTTTGATTCATCATTTTTCCTACAAAACGCAAAATCATTATCTTGTTCTTAAACAACATAATATAATACAATAAACACTAGTAAGTTCAGCGTATTAGAGCATAATAATCATAATAATTATGCACTCATCAAATATCATTCTAATAACAATTTGTGAATGGGTAACAAATATCATTACAACAATAGAGTTACAAATATCTACACCAATATATACATAACCAATTCTTATATTATTATAATCATTATCAACACATCAATCAAAACCAAAACCACTCTTATTTGACAATAGTTCAACAATTTATCATTGTAATTACTTAGTTTTTGTATTGTCAATATCAAGTGCCTTTTGTATTGCTATCTTAATTAGCAACTCTTCTTTTTTCATCAAAACGGAAGACTCCGTATCATCTAACTAATTCTTCAACCTTGCAACCTTCAAAGCTAATTTATTGTTTTTTGACACCAATGAATTTTTCTCTTTGTACATATGTCCTTACCTATTTTTCATCTCCAAAACAATCATCCTTACTCTTCCTTCTATGATATCATCATTCCGCACCCAATAACCACAACTATATTTTTTATTACCATTATGGACAAACCATATTAGACATGGATGTAACTCGAAACCTCAATGCTTATCACTCCATGACATCAATATTGTAGTCTTTAAGGCATAATGGCAGATTATAGGAGACTCCTTATAGTTCGCTTCAGGAGTTTGTATTGAAGTTGCATAAATTAGTAAAAATCTTTCATCTTCGAATTCATTGTAATAGGTTGAGGACGAAACATAATATGGGATTATGATAGTAGAGGATAACAAATCTATTCCATTACTCAATTTTCTATATAATGAAGATGAAGATAAAGATGATGAAGCTATGGTTTTTAGAGTTTACAAATAGGAGAATTTTGAATTGGAGGTTTTATGATTTGGACAAATGAGAAGAAGAATTGAGAGTTCTTGGGTTTAGGAGAGATAAAAAGAAGAAGAATTGGAGTTAGAAGGGGTTGTGAATCGATGGTAAGAAGAGAATCTCACAAAAAAAAAAAAAAAAAAAAAAAAAAAAAAAAAATTGGATTCTGATTAGATCGAGGGTCTTGGGGAAAGAAAATGCATAATGTTTTGTTATACACTTTTTGTCCTTTTCTTTTCATTTTTAGCTTCTTTTTTTCCACGAAGTAATTTAATCTAATATGTCATGATATGTAGCTTTTTTTTGCCACAAGTCACGTTTGCTAGGAAAATTAGCTCAAAAATCAGCATAAGAGCCACATTAAGAAAATTTAGGAATTAGAGAAATGTGATTAAAAAAAAAATTGAGAACGAAAGAAGCACATTAAGAAAATGTCAAAAATATAAAAACGTTTTATGCTATTAATCCATATACAGGTGTGGACTCGATGTTCCTGTAGAACCACCAACAGACACTAAGATCCAAGGCTGCGCCAATGGATTTACTAGTTAGCTAACAAAAATAACAATGATTAGGTTGCTATAATGCAAAAGCATCCAGCTGACCAGCTCCAGCTAAGATAACTATATATATGGAGTTGCTTCTCCAGGTTCTGCAGCTGATGTTTTCTAGGATTTCTCTATTTACTGTTTCTGCCGTTTGATTGGTTTTCACTTTCCAGCACTTCTCTTTGGTGTGTGCTCCTGTCTTATGTTATTACATGATCACGCCCCCAATTACTTCCAATTACTTCTGATAAATAGGCTTGAACCTACCTGTAGATGACAGTAAATCCGTTTAAAAGTTCCCTCGTAAACCCTGCTTAAAACTCTTTTAAAAGAGTATATCCTGAAAATAATTGGAAAAAAAATCACTGCATCCATTAATTTCCCTCTCTTGATCTTCAACTAGTTTCGTGTTTTTTTTTTTTAATAATAATTTTTTTTGCTGGTTAAATCTTCGATTGATACCTTCCATAAAGTTATTTTTTCTATAGGACTTCCAACTTTAGGTATTTCAGGTTTAGATCCTGTAGAAATGTGATTGGCTCGGAACTCAGACTTGTAAGTGAAAACTTAAAGAATCATAATGTGTGCTCTAATGGAATCAAAATACAAAATCCACGGACGTTGATAAATTAAAGCAACCGACAGAAATTCCATACATATATTCACATATGCATAAAAGAGATAAATGAATAAGACTATTCACCGTCCTTCCATACTTCCCGGAGGAGTTTATATCTAACAACTTTCCGGCCTGCCTTTCCTTTTTGCATCCAATCCCATGCTGTTGAACCAGGAGAAGCCTTGGAGTTTTCGATGATGGAAGTCATGGGTGAATCCAGCTCATCAAGCTCATCATCACTAGTGTATGACTTTCTAAGCATCGCTGATCTACTCTGCAGAGTTTGGCCTCCCACCTCTCCTATAATGTTTGTTAGCGATGCTGCAGGAGGTGGTGAATAGATTGTGGGAACTGCAGTGCATGGAAAGTTTGTGATAGACTCCTTCCCAGCTTCAGCAAGATCCTAAATCAAGATGAAGATAAAAAAATAAAAAATAACAAAAGAAATCAAGTGAGTTTGCTGCATATTTTAAGAAATAGGAAAGCAGATATTCTTTTTCAAAAAGCAACGGCTTCTTCAGGATGGAATGACCTCAGAATCCAGGGCCTCAAGAATTGTCTCTGGGATAGGGTCAGGGTTGAATTCATCTGGGACAAAATTCTCAAGAACCCTCTTGATTATTGGTGCACCAAATGCAGGGCATACCTTCAGAAAATTAATTTAAACAAGGAAAATAAAGAATGTCATTTCTAGAGAAGAAAAAATCTAGGAGGGGAGGATGGATAGCAGATATCACTGAAAAGATATAGGATTTACCTCTTTTCTAGTTGGCCTATCTGCAAGCATTTCAAATGGAAGCATCATAAGGTCACTCAACGCATTCAGAAGATGGAAAGCCTTGAAGGATGTCTCACATTCACGCCTGTTGCTATCAAGTTCATCCTTCTCTTCTGGATAGTCACTATCATCAATACCAAATAAATCTGTGAGCCATCTGGACCAATTTCCAACCTGGTGACATGAAGACAAGAGCAAGATCCTTTCATCAAGATAGAGAAAAAGAAATGATTCCTTTATAACTATTACAGTTGATGTAATTCATAGTGTCAAATAATAAGCATTAGAAAAACTTATCTAAACAGCAAATATATAGAATCCTAAATTGGAATGGGCATATATTGATCTAGGATGTATTTAGTAGATTTCTTAAATACTTTCGATAGCTGCTGATCTGTGTCAAACAATTTTCCTAACTATATATTTATAACATCGTCTTAATGACCATTTTGATCAATTCTCCTTGAAGGAGAACACAAGCGCAAAGCGGGTTATCCAAATGAACAGTCCAAGTGATACTCGACAAGATTAATTATCCAGAGTTAAATTCGTTTGACCAATTTCTCAGTGGTGAATTCTGTGAAGCTTTTTGTAGGAAAATAGGTTAATAGTGTTGAGCACGCTGACCAAATAATAGTATTGCAAAAATCAATTCCAATGAATGCCCCCAGCCTGAGGCAAAAAACAAGTGTCGATTACTCACAGCATTTTTCAATTGTGCACCAGCCCCAAAGCTTGAATTTCCAGCTGGGATTGGAAGAACCTTAGGATCACTGATTGGGTCAGAAACAGGATCTGTTGGCATCTCTTCAGCTGATTCCCGAAGTATAGCATTGAACATGGCCACATCTAATCTACTTACCAACTGTTCCATTACCTAGAAACATAACTGCAAACTGTCACATTTCTGTGGTTCTACCAGACAGCTTCCCAAAGTATCATAGTGCCAAAATAAATTACATATTACAGAAATATGTCCACAGATATTCAAGATGAAAAACATGGAACTATTATTTCTGAAAAAAGAAAAAAAAAAAGGTGACTATAAATCAAGTAATTGGCAGAAAATAAGATTAGCGAAAGCCAGCATGGCAGCTTCTGTTGTAGGAAAATGTTCAATCTGCAACTTCTTTTTGGACTATGATCAACAGGATACATTCTTATGAGAAAGATTTGCATGCCACTTTTCTTACAGTGAATAAATCCATACACCATGTTTTCTTTTTCATGACAGATCACAACACTGCATTTTCTTGTAGGAAATAGGAATTATATGCTATAATGCAGGCCTCAGGAAAAACAAAGGACGAAAGTTCAAATCAAAATAATGCTGCGGCTTTGCAATCATAAAATGAAAGCTAAAACAATATTTAACTTAGAAGAAATAAGGTGTGCAGAGATCAAAATTCTGCCTTATCATATGGGATATAGATCAAGGAACCACTTGCCCTTACAAGAAAGAGATCATGCTGTCCATTTTGATAGGAAATATAATTTATGCACTTATGAATACATTAATTCCCTTAAAAAAAATAACTGGATAAATCAAAACAGAACTATAGGATTGTAACAGGGTACAGCATTTATTCCTTGACCATTCAGCAAGCGACTGTAAAGTTCAATCTTTTCATCAAATAAACTGGCTGGAGCAATATACCTAACTCGAGACCTTCCAGCTAAGAATGAGAGCAAACATAACATCACTAATCTACAATTACATAGCAAAGTTCGTTTACTTCAAGGATTTGGGTCGTTCTTCAGTGATGTTAAAAACATTTCAAGGTAGGTGTCTTGTTGCAGATTGCATTAACACCTCGTGAATCGGATCACTGATAGTTATGAAAGCAATAGACAAGTTAAACCATGCATTATATATCTTGAAAGTACTCTTTATTTTATTAAAATCATTTAGATCCGAATATTATGTTGAAGGGATTAAATCAAGCATCATACAAATAATAAGATCTGTTCTCGTCAGAACCATTTTTAAATAGATTCTCTCCCTCAAAATGCATGAGGCCAGAAACTTTAATACCACATGGAAAAAAAAAAAGCAGTGAATTATGTAAGGAATTTCACTCTAATATATATTAAGGAGATTGCCATCTAAGAATAACGTACCAATCTAGACAGCACAGACAAGCAACCACATTCATGCCCCTCAGCTCGAACTGGACAAAGCCTTTCACATGCATCCCTGAAAGCCTTCTTCCATAAATCAATAGCAAAATTCCCCTGTTCTTGATCGCCCAATCCATGCCTCCTAGCATGGGTCTTCCTGGAGTTTGAGCTCTTTACAGCTGCGGATTGCATATGTGGTGTCAGAGTCTGAAATGCATAAAACAGAAACCAAGGTAAGCACATCCACTACACTAAAATCTTCATAATCAAGGACCTTAGTTGCTCAGCAATGAAGAAGTAGAGACCTGCCACCAAACTGACTCAACAATTCGGGAGAAGATCCAAGCTTCAACCTTCTCTAATGCTGCTATATATGGTTGAGGTTCAGCCCACTCATCACAACTTTCTGTTTTATCAGTTTTCTCTTCTTCACATATAGATGACTTGTGCCTGCCCTTTGGACCACCATTATTAATGACAGATGTTGCTGAAGCAAGTTGCAACTTCTCAACAGCTTGGCTTACAATTGCTCTTAGCACAATCGAATTTGACAACCAGAAAGTTAACCTGATTATAGGAGATGGAATTTTCAACATAATGTTGAAATGAACATAAAGCTTTTGATAAATCCAGGGAAAACTAAGGAAAATGATGAATGATTTATCAACCAGAAAGAATAAAGTTTCCTAAATGACACCCATTCCATGATCAAATTAAGTTATTCCACAACGTAACCTTACATGAATAATTTGTATCACTGAAAAGACACATATCACTGGTTTTAGCTTCACTAGTTATTGGTGCATCTACTATTAATTTTGTAACCACGATCAATATTTCCATACATAATGGTTACTGTTAACAAAAATCAATTGAAATAGGTTTGTGGAATGAGACATTACCTTGGAACATCATTTCCACATGCTTTAGAAACCAAAATTAATCCTGAGATAATAGCTCTTGCGGCATTTGCCCTCTTGGCCCAGGACCCGCCCTTGCAAGCATAAAGGTAGAATCTTGAAAGGCGCCTTGCTGGTGCTAGGACCTTATTTATAGAACTCCCATGCTCGGCAACAACTGAGTAAAGGCCAACCTCAACAGCTGCAGCTTCCATCAATTCTTCCTCAAGCATTTTAACTTCAGACTCCAGTTCAACTTTGTTTCCTGAAAAGTTGCTTTCTGTTTGTTCATCTCTTTTACTTGGGGCATAACTCATGTCAACTTTATTAACATTTTCAGGAAGATCAATTTCTTTTTCCTTCTCCATTAGCTGGAACGTTTTTGTAGAGTTTCCTTGCTCGGCAAGGCCATCCTTGGCAGCAGCTCCACTTAACTCTTCCTCAAGTATCTCAACTTTAGAATTTGATTCACCTTGGTTGCCATGAGAACCTTTTGTTGATTTTTCCATTTCACTGTGCGCATAGCCCTTATCACCTTTATTAACATGTTCAGAAATATCAATCTTCTTTTCTTTCTCTACGAATTGGCTATTGACGAAGGGATCCTCACCCTCAGCTGAGTGAAACTGTAATTGAACAGACTTCAGATGCTTCAATTTATCTCTCCGGGTGTTACCCTGCACTCCAATTGCTGTTCGGTTGAGTGCAAGAGTATTGCTCCTTAATTTAGCTTGCTTTTTTGATGCATGTTCAGGTAATTGACCCAGTAATTTCTCCTCCATAGCAGGTTTCTTTACCTCCAAAATAACCGTACCCTGTCCCTTGTCATCCATGAGATCACCATTTAAATTAGAAGTTGTAGCATTCTCTATTCCACTCATTTCATGTCTCCAGGCTTTTCTATCAGCGTCTTGTTTAGTTCGAGACTCTTCCAAGCCTACACAATTTGAGCTCTTACCCACCTGACTACAGTCATCTGACAACATAACATTTTCTGCAAGATTATTTACAGGATTCAGCAGATTGGACATGCCTGTTGGCAATGGAGGAGAAGCTGCTCTATTCTGAAGTTTGAATCCTTGAGCTGCTGAGTTCACTTCTGCGTTTGAAGGTGATACACCTGTAGGTAATGCAGGCCCATCAATCCTTCTTGTGCCACTGTTTGCTGTTCCTGATCCCTTCTGCGATTCAAGGCAACTCATAGTTAAGTTTAGAAAGAAATAGAAAAGCTTCAAGCAGGGAAGTATTTGGTGCCAGCAATCTGTGATAAACGTAAGGACAGGAAATACACTCTACAACTAGGGATAATGTGTAAATACATGTATAGAATGAACAGTAAAATGATTAATATCACCAAAAGCTATGATTAAAAATGACTTATTGGAAATGAATCCTTTTAAAGCTATAAAGTATCTTCAACAGGTAGAAAATGAGGATATGCCGTTGGAATTGAAATGCACATGGGGCTTGATAGTGTGTGGTATAATACATTATCAACAACAACAGCAACCAAGCCTCTATCAGAAACTAGTTGGCGTTGGCAATATGGATCCTTTTGCAGAATTATGCGCAATCATACACCAAATCTGCCTTGGTATAATATGTTACAAATTTAAAAGGTGGGATTTAATCACAATCGATGAATTAGAGTTCCGTGTCCAATTCAGTTTTATCCCACAAAACGAAAGATTTTGAATTTCCAGTCACATATCCATCACTTTCAGCATTGTAAAGAAACTAAATAAAGCTGGAATCAAGAATAAAAAGGTATAAAAAAAGTACCGTGTCAGATTGACTTGGTGAACCTTTACTAGACTCTAATGCAGAAGAGGACACTGTCAGTGATGAATGTGAGGAAACATTATCATCATAATCATCATCAGTAAAGGAGGCAATCTCAATTTCACCATCATTCCCTTCATTCGTAACTTCTGAAACAGTTTCACTTCCATCCTTGTCTAGTGACACTTCTTTTGACAAGCTAGACTTATCTCTATCAAATGGCTGAATATTTACATAAAGAACCGCCGGCACCGTGCTCCGAGAAGACTTCTTGAAATTAATTGGGGCATTTATGGTTACAGTATCCGTTATGATTCCATAATCTGCAAGGTTTATGACTGCAGATCCCAGGAGTTGACCTTTCATTGCCTTGTCCTTCCGAGATTCAAATAAGTTAAACTCTAAGTAGTTCTTCAGGAAACTGTCTCGAACAGTACCTTTTCTGGATACTTCCTTGCATAAAGTAACTGAAAGCCTAAAAGACTCACTGAATTGAACTTTCCCATCTCCAACATTAGAAGTACAAGAACCAGAACTCTGATCACCATTTTCCCATTGAAGCAACAATGATTGGGCAGATTTAAGAGACTGTGATGGGGGCCAAGGCTTGATTTCTTGTACATGAATGAGATAATCAAGCTGCACTGAAGTACCTTTCCGGTTCTTTGATCTAAGCCCAAGAACCATTTTTTTATGGGGAATACTGGTTTTTCTCTAAGCGGGTCTAATCAATTACAAGCCTGTACATTGATGAATCCTTATGCAACTACAAGTCAACACAAAAAAGATCCAGATTTTAGCAAACACACTCAAAATGTGCACACACAAAAAGAGAAAGAGAAAATCAAATGCCAATCAAAATCTAATTTGAAATAATCATGTAATGCATTAGGGTGAAGTTGAAAAAACAAAAATAGAAAGAAAATGGTATGTTAAGCTTATATAAGAAAGGCAGAGAGAACGTGGGCAGGTCTCAACATTACAAATTAGAAGCAAATTAATTTTGAGAATATCTGACCCACCATATGCAAGCACTCAAAAATAAAAGTATATTCTATATCCCTGAAGAGGGCCTCCACAAATAATAACAACAATAATAGGCAATTAATGAAGAAAAAAACTCCCAGTTCATTTCAAGAGAGAGGGAGAGAAGGGGTCAAAAGGGTAGTAAAACCAGAACAATAAAGAAAATGCAATATTCTAAGAGAAAAAGTCAAGATGAAAACAAATAAATAATACTTCTGGAAACCATTGAACGGTAAGCAAGCATCAGAACAGAGAGAATCCAAGACAAGAAGAGCATAGAAAGACAAAACCGCACACTTCATCAGAACATTAAAGTAATGAAACACTTATCATATTTAAATCATCATCAGATCCATATAAAATCAACCCAAAACAAGATCAAGACAATGCAATCAGTAAACAAGAACCAAAGTAGTAAAGACCAGAGTTATGTAACACAATGAGGTGAGGACTGATAGTAGAGTAGTACCTTTCTTACAGTACATGAAGCTGAACGACGAGGTTGTTGGGTGCAGAGTAATCCAGAAACACAAAGTTGCTGTACAAAAGAGAATGATGAAAGCTAAGAATAATGTTTGTGTTGTCAGAGATGGATGAGTTGAGGTTTCTTTTTCGGTGTCGCTAGCGAGTCAAATGTGAAAGTTCTCCAGCGTGAAAATACTAAAACCGTAAGAGAGTAAAGGACGCAAAAAAAGGAAAGGACGTATATCTAAGCAACTACCAACCGCGTTCTTCCACTAGTCAGCTCAAGCCATCTTTCCTTCCTTTCCTTTCCTTCTTTTGTTGGGCCAATTTATTTTTGTTTTGCCCAACAAGCTTGGCATTCTCAAATACCGAAACTCTTTCAAGAAAATAAAATCATCGCATTTAAACAACAGTAGTAAATCATATTTGATTGAGGTTAAAAAAAAAAAAAAAAAGAAATGATGGCATCATGAGTTTTCAATTTATGTGTGCCCGTGATGGCCAATGTCATGATTAAACTATAGAGTATTCTAGTGTTGGTAGAATGGTAGGTTGATGACGTCTGAATTACTTATGCCTCGTTACTAGAATATGTTTGTACTGTTTCTCGTGTATTAAAATTCAAGGTTACTATAGTGACTGATAGTGATTCTCATTTATATGTTTCAAATGCAATCAATTGCTATATTTGGGGATTTCACAATATATAGTCCAAATTATTGAAAAAATCAGTTATCATTTGAAAGACTATCTTCAACTGGCGGTACTATCAATGATATTTACAAATAGAAAGTAATTTCTCTAAATGTACGAAAATAAAAATTTATTTATACTTTATTCGATATTCATAACATTGCTATTTTTTTCTCAAATTAAAAAATATATATATATTGATGTTCATGATAACCACGTAAACCCATTGTTTTAGAATCTTGTTAATGACTTTTTCTACTTTTTCTTTATCTTCTTTCTACGTAGTTAGAGTTTTTTTTTTTTTTTTTTATCTATTTTTTCATATTAAGATTAAATTTTTTTTCCATATAAATTTTAGGCATGCATTAATACTTTAATTGGTGCATTCAGAGTTTTTTTCTAGTAATCTCTCCTTATGCTAAAATCTAAAATGATAGTATAGATAATTTTATCACCTAAACTAATACCTCAAACATATCTCAGAATTAGATATAACAAAAGAAATGTAATCAAATAAGAGGAATTTGGATGGATAAATTGTTAAAATTGGATAGTAGCTCGAGGCAACAATAACAAAATGACAAAGTTGCTTACTCTCTTGTATGTTTTTTTTTTTTAATATTTATTTTATATTGTATTTTGTATTTTTTTTGAAATTTTTTTATTGATTTTAAAAATAAAAAAAAGTGGATTGAGACTCTTTACATTTTGAAATTTCTTATTTCGGACTTTATGTTATAATATAATTAATCAATGAACGATGTGTGACATTATAAAAAAAAAAACTTTTAAGATATGTCGATCACTCGATTGATAAAATTTAAAAAAAGAATCGAAATAAAAAAAAATCTTGAAAAATAAAGAGTTTTAATCAAGATAAAAAAAAATAGAGATCTCAATAAAAAAAAATTCAAAAAATACATGGTCTAAATGTTAAAAAGAAAAACCTATTTTTGAATAAATATATATATATATAATTCCTCTACTTATATCCATATAAATTTAAAAATCAAAGTTGATTAGATCTGATTGCAATTTTGTTTTGAAGCTCATCAATGATTATTTTTAGATACATAAAATGAATATATAGATAGATTAATTATGCATCAAACGAAGAATTTAATATCTTTCACAATTATATATATATATACACACGAAACTACAATAATGTAATGGTATAAATTTAAAGTGCTTCCTTGAATAAATGGAACCAATTGAATGTAAATATATTACTTCTCCTAATATAATTGCTATCTGAACCAATCATATTGGACTCCAAAGGAAATAATTGTGTAGTTAAAATCTAAAGGGATGAGAGGTGCTAATCAATATGAAGGAAAGAAGATTTAAAAAAAAAACTTCCACACTCAACACACACTCAGGATGTTTACTAGAATTAGCCTGTTAAAATTGGCCCTATAATTTCTTGCATGAAATCACTGCTACTAAACAACAATTTTTTTGGGAAAGGAAAGAAAACGTTAGCAAAACAGGAAAACTAAAGAAGTATCCGTTAAAATCTCCATACTCCATGCTTGGGTCATCTCACAATACCTAAAAGGCGGTCTTGTGAATAGAACTTCCATGTGCTGAGAGACGAATTTTTGGGGTCAATAGAATAGACAAGGAGCTCAACGCATTTTTCAACTCTGGGGAAACAGAGCAGTTTTGAATTCATTTAGTTCATTCAATTATAAGAGCCATCATCGTTCATGACTTCTGGTTACCAAATCCCAATATGTAGCAGAAACACAAAGTTTTTATTTTATCCACTTTTAATTTTCGCATCTTGCGAAGCCATTAATTAAATCAAATGATGATCTTAGTTCGTGCCTCGGCTCGTCAGCACAAAGTTTTTTCTTGAAGAAATTGAGATTTAAAGAAGTGAAATTCAATGGATGTAATGCTTTTGAACAGTTAGGTCAACGGAGGGAAAAAACCAAGGGAAATGGTATACTCACACGCACTCGTAAATCCTAACAAATATTCCTCGCACGCACACAGACACATAAATACTTTTGGTCCTACATTTTTATAATTTTGCAAACATGTCCTTAAATGGTAAATAGACTAGAAATTGTAGCTTCTTCTATTACGTTTTTTGCCATGCGACCTTCAAAGAATTATATAAGTTACAGCTTGATCCTTAAATAAAATATGTACAATCACATCAATATTAACATTGAAAAACATAACAAAGTAATTTTAGTTACATATGAGTATATTATTTTTTGTATCTAGTCTGTTTTTAAGCACACAATGCACAGTTTAGTACTTGTTCTTCAAGATTTTTCTATTTCAATGTGTGTATTGAATTTTATTTTTATTTCTATTTTTTCTATTAGAGTATCTTTATTTGAAACTTCCTATATATGCATTGAGAAAAAATCACAAATATACAAATGTTTATTTTATGATTCAAACAAAAATGACACGAGATAGTGATTGCTGGATTAATTTGCAAGTTTTTCTACATACAAAGTCTTAAGTGAATGTTGTTAGTCTACATATAACTCGATTAAAAAAAAAAGAAATTAATTCAGGTCGCACATAACAATTTGATTCGACAACAAAATTATTTAAAATAAAAAAAATTAAATTTCAAACAATTGTTGTGCAATTATAGGAGAAATTATCCCACTCATCTCTCATGTGTGTGTGTGTGTGTGTGGTAAAAAAAAAAAAAAAAGAATACAAAATAAGAAAAATAGAGAAACAATAAGTTTAAGACTCTCAAGAAAACCAAAAGGTTATACGGAATAGTGAGAACAAAAAAAGTGAAAAATTATATTGACACTTGGATTATGAAAGTTTTGATAGTAATTTAATATCAATATCTATTGATCTGGAAAAATGATTGCATGTCGCTTAGCCTACAAATTTATATATTTATCTTTTTCTCACTTAACCCAATCACAAAGCTGTAGTTAGGGCAAATCGGGATCGATTCCATAGAGAGATGGTTCAATCAATATCCTTTATTGTCCGATTGTTCCAAAGTAAAGTAAAGGAAAAAGGAGAGTTTGGGTTGTTAAGAGTAGTAATGGTAAACAAAATTAAATAGAGAGATGACAATAATAAGTAAAGCCTTAGTTGAAGGTGAATCTCCACTTTTGGTTCAATCATTGATCATTGATTCACATATCAATCCATTATTATTATGAATATCCATTGTAAGACAATAATATATATGTTATCCTCAATCTTTCATTAGTGATTTGTTAACCAAATAGATGCTATTTGATTAATCCCTAACTATTGAACAATCTAGTAGACGCTAGCTAGATTTAATCCAACAACAACATTAAATAATAAAAAGATAGGTGGAGGTAAACAACCCTCCTAAATGCTAGAAGAATTTAATCAATTTATGTGCTTATTTTTTTATTAAATTGAAGTTGGTAGTGTTTTTCCACTTATGTGGACAAAGCTATCTATGACTTTCAAATCATCTCATCTGTTTTTTTGTTTATAAAAAATAAAGCTATTGGTGGCTTCTCACC